AATTTACTCCTGACTCCATGCACTCTGACGTGAACCTTGAAATGCATAATTTCATACTTCAGTTAATGGTTGTCATGTCCAAATGGTCCAAATAGACTCTGGAGCATTAGAAGAAGCTTTAGAGTAATTTTTCAGAAATTAGAAGTACAATAAAAAAAAGGTCAAAACCTCTACTGGGAAATTTGATTGGAACAGGTTTTGATTTTATTCACATATTACACAGCTGTGTTGCTGGCTGAACAGGCTCACGCAAAAGCAATGCCGCGCCTGGCCTATTGTTTAAGTATCATTAAAGTTAGATCTTGTAAAATCTCACCATTAGATGTCAGTAGATTGCAGATTCCAGTCAAATGAATTCACTTTTCTTATCCCTCCTAATTCAAGTCTATAAACCAAGCTACAGTAGCTCTGCTAACTCTGGTAATGCTGACTGTCGTTCAGTATATCTTTGTTTAATCTTTTTATTTGCTTTATATTACCCACTATACTTTGGCTTCAAACTTCTCAACAATAGATTAGACCTTCATTGGGGGATCTTCATTGTAAGCCCTCCAAGGTCAAAGTTAATCTTTGGGCGGGGGGGGAATTCAAGGAACTATATTGAGTAATACTTCATATGAAAGCGCATGGACAGAGCTCTACAACACACTTATTTGCTTTTTGGACAAGTGAAGTTACAAAAATCTCTTGAATCATATTTACTTTGGTGGACAGAAAAAAGCCTTTGTAGACTGTTTTGGGTAACTTTAGTACAGTGGAACCCCGACTTACGAATACCCCATTTAACGAAAAATTCAAGTTAGGAAGGCACTTAACGGCAATATTTCTGCCCGTGGTACGGCAAAATGACCGTGTAACAAAATCCGCAGGCTCTGATTGGCTGAGCCCACAATGCCTTCCGAATCATGTGACAACCCCTTGGCTTTCGTACTTGCGCTTCGCTGTTCCACTTGAACGACGTATTGTTGTTGCAGTTAGCGATTAGCCTATAGCCTTTCGTTCACTCAAAAGGCGCGATGGGTGCTTAGGCTTACGAAAAATTTCAACTTACGAAAGACCCTCGGAACGAATTAATTTTGTAAGTCGGGTTGTATTGATTTTTCAACAATAAATTTTCTGCTTTTAGCTGTATTTAGCAACCGAAAATATTATAGTAACACTGAGAAGACAAATCATTAACATTGTGTGGTCAGGTAGAGGTGTAGGTGTTGCTGTCTTAGTTCTCTTTCTGTAACAGAACTTGAAAAAACTGAGTCAGTTGTCCTGACCAGTTCCTGTCTGAGGTTCAGACCATCAAGAACGTAACTATAATATTGAACCTGAAGTATGATCTTCCTACCTACCAGGGAACCGCTGTGGGTTCAACTCCTCCTGCTGAGCTCATAGAGCAGCAACTCACCAGTCCAGAGACAGAGTGGTGGTGTAGATGCATCACTTTCATCACTCACTCCTGAACTCCTGTGAAACATAACAAGGCCTCTCTAAACATCAGTAATGTGAGATACATTACTAAGAAAACACGAGAGATATATTACTAAGAAAACATGGCAGTAGGTGTTGGGTCTGCGTTTCCACAGGCCCTGCTAGTTTAGAAACTTATTCTCATTAATGACAGAACGGTCGGAACCCAAGCTCTTGGAGCTGAACGCTCCTCACCTGTCTTCTAACCAACTTCATCTAAGCAGCCTTCCTCGCAGCCTTTTATTTCCAAGACACACAGTTTACACAGCAGTTACAGTACACACAAGCACCTCCCATTGTAAAACCCCCCCTATGGTTACAAAAGACAAGGCTCTGTGTGTGTATGTGTGTGCACGTGTAAGCACGTGTGTGTATGTGTATGCATGTGCGAGAATGTGTTTTGGGGTGCGTTTGTGTGACCTCCTGCTCACCAAAAGGGTAATAAAAGCAGGAAGCTTACCACACAAGAAACAGAACTTCCAGATAGGATGTGCCTATAATAAAACACCTCAGCCTCCCCCACCAACAGAGTGGCTGGAGAGGTGGTAAG